ACATTATTTCACTATATTCATGTACAATAAATGTTAGAAGTTTTCATTATTTCTAGGATTTATTTTGCATACAAAATGTTTATACAAGGTCCTTTCTTTATCTGCATTTTTACTTTTCATTTTAGTTGCGGGTGCACTTGGCCCATGTGTGTCTGCCAATGAAAAAGGACCAAATGTTGCTGAAACTGAAATTGGCATTGGAAATACCACTAAGTGGAAGATGTGTGGTTTAGGACCAAGCACCACTGTAGCCATATTCTTCGAGGTAGCCAACCAGCAAGGCTCAGACATTCCAGGCACAAGAGGACACGTTCAATTCATTACTAGATACCAGCACGCCTCAGGACAGACGAGGGTCAGAGTCACAACAGTTGCAAGAAAGTAAGTTTTCATTGGGGGAAAACATTTTGGAGTAAATTGTTAAGCAAGGAAAAGTTAGGGTGGTTTAAATGCCTGATTTCTACATTTAATGTCTGTTTCATTATATATTATTGACATTTATTTGTTCTATATTCAACAGTTGGGCAGATGCACAGACAGGGCAGCAGTTCATTTCACTTGGTTTTGACCAAGAAGCAGCTGCTGTGCTTATGGCTCGCTTAGCAGTCAACAGATCAGAGACTGATCAGGATGGAACAGACGTCCTGCGTTGGGTGGACAGGATGTTGATTAGGCTTGTAAGTGTAAAGGCAGTCCAGTTGGTATGAATTTGTTTTGAAATATGAAGCCCATCAAACCTCTTTTATTATGACTGGTGATACTACTTCAAAAGCAAAACCTCTTCCACTAATGGTTTTTAATGTTTCTTGTTTCATATGGAATTATTTTTCTATTTACAGTGTCAGAAGTTTGGTGATTTCACTCCAAATGATCCCAATAGTTACCGCTTCCACGATACGTTCACACTTTATCCTCAATTCATGTTCCATCTGAGACGTTCACAGTTCCTCCAGGTGTTTAACAACTCGCCAGATGAAACCTCTTTCTACAGGTGAGGTGTTTCAGTCATTAACATTGAGGATAAATTTTGCACACAAGTTCTCTTTATGACACCAAAATTGTGAAAAGTTTAATTAGAAAACTATAGACTAGAACAATACAAATTTGAGAAGTCAGTGAACAATGTAAGAGACTATGATGAGATCAGAATTTAAATACTTTTTTATCAGTCATTCAGTATATCTCTTCTACTTTTCATGGTCTTAATAATAGTTATTGTTTCCAGATGCATGCTGAACCGTGAGACTGTGACAGAGTGCCTAACCATGATCCAGCCAGTATTGTGCAGTTACTCCTTCCAAGGTGTTGAGCCTGTTATGCTAGACACTTCCTCCATTCAGCCAGACCGCATCTTGCTCCTGGACACTTTCTTCCACGTGCTTATCTTCCTTGGAGAGGTGAGTGGGTAAAATTGGTATAATCAATGGATGTTTGCATTAGTTACCTGTTTAGGTTTTTTTTTTTTTTTGTATATTTAGATATCTTATTTGAGTTCCATAATGTATTTCCTTGTAATTTTATATGCTTGCCAGATCAAGCATAGTATTAGGCTTGTTCATGTTTAGAAAGATATTGATATTTATGGAACAGAGCATTAGGCATTTTTAATATTACATTGGTGAATATTGTGTACAAATTTAGTCCATTGTGTACTTCAGACAATGGCAGCCTGGAAGAGGGAGGGTTACCACGAACAAGAAGAATATGCAGTCTTCAAAGAACTCTTACAGTCTCCAGTGGATGATGCTCAAGATATCCTGGCAACCAGGTTCCCCATTCCACGTTATGTTGAGACAGAGCAAGGAGGATCACAGGTTTGTTTTTGAAGAGTGAAGTTGGCAAGTAACACTTTATTGTATACTATATACTGTCCCAAAAATTGTGTGTAAATTCTTACAAATTTGCTTCTTTTGCCAGGCTCGGTTCCTTCTCTCTAAAGTGAATCCTTCTCAAACACACAACAATGCTTTGTATGGGGTAAGTATGTGTTTATATGTATTAATTAAAAATGTAATTCTAAATGTATAATTTTAAATATTTAACGGTTTGCATATACATCCCTGCATTGGTATATTATCTTGTTTGTGTTTATAAAGAAAATTTTTAAAAGATTCAGTTTGATTGGTTAAATTTAATATCAAGGGAAATCAGAAATTAATATAGAGCACCCAATTTTTCCCCCTTTTTTGACTTTGCAGTCAGCGATCCCAGACCCCAATTCTACGGTATTTATTATTTTTTTGTGGTTTGGTGATGGCACAAAGTAAAAATTGCTTTTTTTATCCAAAATAAAATTGTAGCACTTGTTGGTGATGGTGAACACACAGCAAAAGGCTTGATTTGAATATAACTAGTTCCTTTTAAGATGGTGTTTGTGACATGTTAGAAGGTGCCGGATATTAAATCTTGTAGTTTGAACACAAGCTGTGTAATACACATGACACACAAGCAAAAAAGTCATCTCTCTTAAACTCTCTTAAATTATATACTAACACAAACCTTTTGGTTTGCCTTGAAAATTTCCATGGTTTTGGTTATTTTAGATTATGAAAGGTAAGTCTTGACTAAGATGAACAGTTACATGTAACATCTTCAGATTTTACTTGGGATTGTGATGGGCAGATTAGTGATATGAACACTTCATTTTATATTTCACATTAGGGTCATTGCTTAAAAAGTTTTCTTTTCTTTTTGATCATCAAAAAAAAACTTGTTAGATTTAATTGTTTCCACTTGATAAAATGCAATATCAAGATCTGATGAAGAAGAAAGGAAAGCTTAATAGTCATATACTTTTTTGAAATACAAATACAGACTTGGGTCTAATGGTTTACAGAACAAGATAATTCTCAAACTATTATGAAGAGTTTCTTGGAAAACAGGTGGTGGTGTGGGCTGATCTTTTGTTTTAATAAGTAGATGGAAGTGGTATTAATATTTAAGGCAATTATCATAGTTTATTTTGAAATTTCTAGTTGTGCAGGTTTTAATTGGCAATTTTAAAGATCTAGTAACAAGATTTAGCTTTTGAAATCCAGCATCAGACATTAAGTAGAAAGTATGAAAAAGTAAACTGAAAAAGTCAAAGGGCTAGATTACCAAGAATGTCGTAGAGGTGTATCAAGTATATGACTAAAAAGAAAAATAATTTGCTAATATTGTATATCCCTTCTTTATACAACTAAGGAGTTCATGTGAAGGAAATTGTTCTTTGGTAGATGTAAAAATTTTATAAGATTAGATGTATATTTATCAAATTTTGGCAATTATTCTTTGTGTAAGAATTAATAGCCTGGTTGTAGTAGGCAAGTTCCAGAGATAATAGTTATTTAACATGTTTTTAACATTTTTGTATTGGGTATAATTTAACCTGTTGGATCTGGTTGCATCACAGAAATCACTGCCAAAAATATGGGCAGTGGGTTAGGGAAGTAGCCAACATCCCAGGTGTGCGGTATGTAGGCCAGGTATGCAAGAATGCCAGTGAGCAGAGACAAGACTGTGCCTCCCCTTTGCAAAGTTATTTTGTGTAAACTTTTAAACTTTTTTTGGCATTTTCCAATGTCCATATTTGTATTTTGACTTACTTTATCCAGATAGTAATAGCTTATTTTCCTTGCACAGACTCCATATCATATATCTATGTAGTAAATAACATTTGGTTATTTGTGTCATATATCTTACTTTTCGTAATTTTCAATTTTCAATTTAATACAACCTAAGCTGCCAATCACAGCAGCCAGGAATATGGTGCACAGCACCGTATTCCTGTTAATGCTTTCCAGTCACGGCTTACACATGATAATTCCACATTCGTCTATTGATGAGAATAATGCTAAAGCCCCCCCTTCTAAGCACCAAATGAGTCAAATCACACTCCAAGAGGTTTGTGCACTTGTGGTGAGTCTTTTCCGTCACCTTGGCCTTCGCTCATGACAGCAAGTTTGTGTCACCCAGCCCCTTGGCCATTTTGCCCGATGATGGCATGTTCACATCACCCGGTTCTTGATCCAGATTTTTCCATGACAGGACCATAACGTCATCCAGATCGTAGGGGTTGTTAAGCTAGTACATTTAGAAGCAGTTTTTGGTAATTAATTATATTTGGGCAATAGATTTCTAGTGTCCCATCTCCTTTCATTCTTGGTGTTGATATAGCAGTCATTTTAATATTTATTATTTTTGTTGGAAAGTTGTCTCCAACTCCTAAAAACTATTGTATGATTTTTCAGGATGGTGGCGCCCCAGTGCTCACAGATGATGTCAGCTTACAGGTCTTCATGGAACACTTAAAGAAGCTGGCAGTAACGTCAAATGCATAAAAACAGTCTTAGCCAATTTTACTGTAATTAAGTATGACTCTTTGCCTGTAAGATACCAGTTCTCCAAAAAGCAAATTAAAATTTTAAAGATGCAAGCATTGTTTCTTCAAAGACACACAAATTCTTGCATTACAGATGAATTATATTTCAGGATTTTTAAAACTTCGGTGACTACTCGGTGATTTATATTTAAGCTTCTTGTACCAGACAGTGTCTTAATCTTGGAAGTGGGTTTCTATTTGATTATCAGATAACAGATGGCAAAGAAAATCGTGTTGTGGAAGTGGTACATTAAGAGGATTTAAATAAGAAAAATTTTGAAAGAGATTTTATTTTATTTGTTAATCTTATCACACACTATATTATTATCTTCAGTTGCTGTAATGTGTTAAATAAAAGTAACATTTAAATTATTTCCTTCATTATTTTGGTTTCCTGTGTTCTAAGATAATCCATATGATTTTTTTAACAAAAATAATCCAAAGATGTTAATGATTGTGTTCATCTGCAGTGCAAGTACATAAGCCATTAATTTTAATATGGAACTATTACTACAGACAGATAACAGGAAGAAACATGCATTAAGCAGAAATTAACAGGAATAAAGATGCATGCAAATCATAAAGCTACCAGCAACAACAACAAAGTAGCAATACTAGTCCAATGAAAATTTGTAATAAATGATTAGGAAAACGCTGGAATGGTATAAATTTGTAGGAATTGAAATACAGACCATACAAAGACATTATTTGATTAAACCTAAAAGTAATCTGACCTACCAATACAACTATTTCAATGTAACAAAAATAATTTTAGATACTAAGTCAAAGGAAAATAGAGTTCTATGCATATATCAAGGAAAAGAGATACAGAATCTGAATACAAAGAATACCAGATTATATAAAGAAAAATATGGGGCATTTAATCTGATATGAACTACTAATTATATGCAAATTAAACATCAATTTCTAAAAGCAACTTGTACACATTTTTATGATTGAAAATTAAATACAAACATTCCAAAAGTCAACAGAAGAATCCTTATTAACAAAAACACAAATGTACAAATAAAAAAATATTCCAAAAGCCTACTGAAAAATCTTTACTAACAAACAAAAATGAGTATACAAATATAAAACAAAGCATTCCAAAAGTTACAGAAGATTTCTTACTAACAAACAGTCACTACAATAATGCCTCATTCATACACACTCACTCCGGAATATGTCCATTTCTGCCATTTTTTTTTCTTTCTCTCTTTTATTCTCCACTGCTTGTCTTGTTAATTTCTAAATCTTCAAGGCAATCAATGACATGCAGGATTTGCCCAGCTGATGGTCTCTTTTCGGGGTCAGGCTCTGTGCAGGCATAGAAGATCTCAAGGACCGGTAGATATTCATCTTCCAAGATGACGTCAGGAAGGGGAGGCCGGGTACCTGGTTAAATGTTTTTTTTTTTTTCAGCTCTCTGTATGTCTTTGAACATCTTTAACCCACTGCAAATAGGTACATGCAGTGTCCAATTTATCTATTTATTCATTACACATTCATGGCTTCTTCCTGTTTACCCCAGTCATTGAATTTTCAGATAAGAATATTTTTATTAGTTATGAACATTTCTAATATATAATTAAGAAGTTTTGTTTCTCTAAAAACAAGCAATAGGGTTAATAGGTGAGATCAGGTAGGCCTATGACTTGACTTATTGAAAACTAATTGCTTATAAAGTCATCTCTGTGTAAACAATATTAATAAAACAAAACCATAGTGGACAGTGCATGTATACATGTACTCATAGTCATAGTTTAATCATCCCAAGTCATGGTTTCAAGTATTAGCCCATATTTCAAAACCACAATAATAATAATAATATTTTGGCATTCTTTTACATACCTAATGCTTTTTGGAAGCTATCCTCCCGTTCCATCTCCAACATCAATTTTGTTTCTTCATCAACAGTTTCATCAATGGATTCACAACTGAGTTTATCCACATGAGGTGGGGAGAGAGAGATCATTTCCCTGTTAGAAAAAAAAGAAAAAGAATGGAGTAAATTCTAGTTTATAACAATATTATTAAAGAATTTACCAATAACAATGACTAAGGGAAGTCTGCCCAAATTCAACACCATTAATAATCTAAATCAAACAGCTTCTTGAAAATGCTGAATTGTGCTGTCGTAAGATAAAACTGTTAATATTTTCTCTTGTATCTCCAAAAACACAAGGATA